ATCATTGACGTTTCTATCTCTCCCTCTCCCTTCCTCTCTCTGAAATCAATAAAAATATATTTTTTTAAATTATTTTGGTTAAAAGTCCATTTAAATAAAATAGCATGGATTTTTGGTTACTTAAAGTAACTCAAACTTTTCTCTCTCTTTTCCAGATTACTTTGGAAATATTGTGGTAAAAATGGAAAATAACGCCATGTTTCATTTTAAGATTACTGTTAGAGATGCAGTAAAGCTACATATGTGGACAAATAGTACATCAAGATCATTAATGATACTTAATCATTCTGGTCACGCATCTCTTGTATATGTTCTTGATAATGGCACAATATATCTACAGGATTATCCCTTAAGACTGGAAACGGAAAGTATAGCTTTAAAAGAAAAAGAAAAAGAAAAATGCCCCTTCGTGGCATTTCATAATAATATTTTTAGTGCTTTTTACATTTTGGACAAGAGACAGAACCTGTCTTTCTGGGCTAAAATAGTCTACCCAGAAAATACTGGTCTGCTGATTCTTGTGGAATCCTACGGCCCAAAAGTATTAGAAAAGACACATCTGATTGAGTATGAAATTGCGTTAGGATACTGCACAAAAACCGTGGTAAGTTATTGTTTTAAAACATCTTCGTTTGATTTTAATAAATGTAAGAGTATGATGTTAGTGTTTTTCGAACAGATCTCCCTTCGAGGTTCAGCTTGGGAGGTGTTGAGAAACATCCATGATTTTAATAAATAACATGATAAGCCATTAATTCCTGAGCCACAGTTTTCACTTTCAGTATCTAAGGTCCCTTTGCAACTTAAAATACCTTCCTGAAGAAGTGTCTGATTGTCTGTTGTGTTGTTTTCCTCTCTTCATTTCTTTTTATTGCCTAGTTTTTTCGTAGAGTTCTATCTACTGTCTATCGTAGTATAACACTACCCCAAAACCTAATGACGTCAAACAACAACCAATGCTATGAGTCAACAATTTGGGTTGTGGGCATTTCAGCTGGTTCCATCTGGGTTCATTCATAAAGCTGTGGTCATCTGGCGGCTCGTCTGGAATGGGATGGTCTAAGATGCCTTATTCGCAGGCCAAGTGGTTGACACAAGCACTGGCTTGTTAGGACAAGGGGCTTCGGCTGGAGTGCTTGTCTCTGCTCCATGCGGTCCCCATCCCCCACACTAGATCTGGCTTCTCTGCAAGGCAGTCTCAGGGCAGTGTTCCCAGGTGGTGAGAGCAGAAGCTACAAGGCCTCTTGGCACCTAGGTTTGACCTCACTCTTTCCATCAAAGCAATTCATAAGGCCAGCCTTGGTTAAGAGGATGGGGAAATAGACTCTGCCTGTGTTTTTTTTTTAAATTAAAGAACTTTTTATTTAAAAAGAAATTTTAATATATTTTTATTGATTTCAGAGAGAGGAAGGGAGAGGGAGAGAAACATCAGTGATAAGTCATTGATCCACTGCCTCTTGCACGCCCCCTGCTGGGGATTGAGCCCAAAACTGGAAATCAAACCGAGATCTCCTGGATCGTAGGTCAATGCTCAACCTCTGGGTCAGGCTGGCCGGGCATAAACTCCACCTCTTAATAGAAGAGCAGCAAAATATGCTGTAAAGGGACATGCATACACGAGTGAGAGGAATTACTGATTGCAGCCATCTTTGCAAACATCTATCACAATTGGTGTAAATCACCTTCAGGTAGGACATGTTTCCCTTTCATCACAAGGAATGTTCTACATTGTTATACACAATACTGATTTCACATCTATTCAGACACTTCAAGGGATTTCAAATCCGGATATTTAAAAGGATATGAGGCCATTTAAATAAAAGGAAAGCCACAAATCAATGATCTGAATAGCATATTTAGCATGAGTAGATTCTTCTAAAAGCCATACTTGCTGCCGCCTGAAGTGATCATCGACTGCCTCGGAATCTACACTCTGAGAAAGGGTTTGTTTTTGCTTCTGTCGCCTTTGCTCTAGGTGTTAAATCCAAAATCATCGTTGTCAAGACCAGTGTCAAGGAGCTTACACCTGTATTTTCTTTTAGGAGTTTTTAATGGTTTCAGGCGTTCCATTCAAGTAACTAATCTCATTTTGAGTTAACTTACTATTTCTTCATACATATTTATCTTGAGATATATAAAAGTACGTGTGTGTGTGTGTGTGTGTGTGTGTCTTTAGAGAGAGAGCAGTTTGGTTCTGGCTAATATGTTGTGATAAGAACAGAGACTTTATGCCTCTGAAAAATCTTAGGAAAAATCTTTTTTCTGAGACAAGGTTTATTTACACATAAGCTGGATGCTAAGTGGTGTAACACAAAATATACAATCTTTTGTGATAAAGTTGAAGGTTGTAAAGGTCATTACATTAAAAATAAATCTAGCCCAGCCAGTGTGGCTCAGCAGTTGAGCATCGACCTATGGTCCAGGAGATCACACTTCGATTCCCAGTCAGGGCACATGCCTGGGTTGTGGGTTCAATCCCCAGTCAGGGGCATGCAGGAGGCAGCCAATCAATGACTCATCATTGATGTTTCTCTCTCTGTTTCCCCCTCTCTCTGAAATCAATAAAGATATATTCAAATAAATAAATAAATAAAAATAAATCTAGTTCCATGTTCAAGGAAAGTAACTAATATTAATATATTTTATATATAAAACAAAAAACTACATTTAAAAATTTAAGGATCTAGGGACATAGGTACCATGCTTTAAAAATGTGGGGCTTATAATTTCCTGCCTCTAACATCATATATGTTCTGTAAATGACTGTACCCTGAGAATATAGCAAACTTGTGAAATACTGAAAATTAAGATGAAACATGCCCCAGATGGAATAAAATAGCAAGAACATATGCAAAAGGCAAATGGACATTTTTTTTAATTACTCAAAAACTACAGCAGAAAGGTTCAGGCAAATACTTCCTCATAGTCTCAAAAATTACAGACCATATGACATCTGTAATCATTTAAAACCCTCAAAAAAGTAATAAAAAGGTCCAGAGACAAGGTTATTAGAAAACAGAAGGAAGTGAAAAATCCTCTATGCTCAGGATATAAATGAAAAATAAGAATATTGTAATGACAAGTCAAATGAGGAGGGAGAAAGAAACAGTAGAAATAAAAGGGCTATGATAATATAAAATTAAAAGGGAAATGTAGCAAAGTAAATCTAATATGTACATAATTGGAGCTTCTGAGATAGAAAATTGGAAGAAAAGCAACACGCTAAATGTATTGTTTTTCTTATCTAAAGAAAGACTTAAACCTGTCTTGAAAGTATCCATTTTCCCCATTCCCAATTTTTTTGCTTTACATAAACTTTTTCTTTTTCAGATCACAACATTTTTTCAGAAAGTAGATTACGAGGCAGTAGATGATTACTTCAAGTTGCAGTAAGTATGACTTTCAGAAGAACCTACTCATGTTAAATATGCTATTCAGGTCATTGGTTTGTGGCTGTCCTTTAGTGTAAATGGCCCCGCATCCTTTTAAATGTCCAGCTTTGAAACCCCTTGAAGTGTCTGGATAGATGTGAAATCAGTATTGTGTTTTAAAATGTAGAATATTCCTTGTGATTAAAGAGAGACATGGCCTATCTGAAAGTGCTCACTGGTCCAACTGAAGATGCGAAGAAAGGGAGCTATTTCTTGACTTGATAATTTTTTAGCATGTTTTATCATTGATTCCCATCCCAAAGTCTTTACATACTATCCTTAAACATAAACTAGAACTCTAATATCCCCAAAAGTCTTCAACTATGAGTAGACTCAGATAAAACACCATCTTTGACTCTTGGAACAAGGTGGCACCTAAGCATTTGATTTCTGGAGGAAGACAACCAACCTAGAATTGTGTCCTAAGTCATTTATATGGTTATCATTGTCCTGATTCAATATATTTTCTGGGGGAAAAAGCATTGTTTTTCTAGGAAGATGCTTCTTGATTTCAAAGGTTTTAAATGAGAAAAAAATATGTATCTAAGAATTAATGAAGTATGGTACAGTGATTTAAAAATATGAAAAATGAGCTATCTGTATCCTCATTTATTTATTACATTTTATATCTAATATATAACTAAATAAATATTAAAATGTAATAAATATTGGAAGAAAAAGGACATTTGTTTGTGGTTAGTTTGTTTGTACTTGTTTTCCCCCAGTTTTTTCCAAAAGCGAACCTTAGCAGGGAAGGAAGTGTGGTAAAGCTTTCTAAATTTCTCCCATGGTTTTGAGCCCGAGCACAAAATGACTTATGAGCACTTCGTAAGCTAGAAAGGCACTGTGTTGTCTGACCTCCCTTCCCATTCCAGTGAGATCATATTATGCAGCGGAATGTGGTTCAGAAAACGAACTTCATAACTTCCACCTCACTGTTACCGACAGGAGGGGAAATCTGTGGAGGCTAGAGAAGGAACCCCCACGGTGGCTGCGGCCTCGTCACAGTCAGGAGGCAGGACCGGATGCCAGCAGCAGGCCTCCACCCTCCAGGGGACTGAGGGTGGAAATGCTGATAGATGCTCCTTTCTCTTTCCCACCGTGTCCGCCCTGTGCTGCCAAATACGGGATCCCGTGGGGTGGGAATGACTTTGGGGTCTGACCACAGCGCACTCAGCAGAAGCAGGGCGCAGTCGCCACCACCCCGTCTCTGTCCCCAGCATTGCTCATGGGGGGTCAGTCGCATCAGGGGCACGGGACCCTGGTCTGTCTGCCCTGCAGGAGGGCAGAATCGCGTCTGCCTCCCTGAGAGTCCACACTCACCTGTGTGCGCTTTCTCCCAGGCAACAGAACACGGCGACTGTGCTCATCCAGGTCAGGCCGAGCGAGTACTCGAAAACGTGTGAGATCGCCCCCAAGGTCAGTGACACGGGTAGACGGCTAAAAAGCGCTTACTTCAATAAGGCATGGGTACAGAGTTCTAGTTACAGTCACGGGGATGTAAAGCACAGCCTAGGGGATGTGGTCAGTAATATTGTAATCACTGTGCATGGTGCCAGATGGGCACTAGACTTGCTGAGGGATCACTCCGTAAGGCGTATAAATGTTTAATGGCTATGTTGTACCCATGAAATTAATATAGTATTTTACGTCAACTGTAATGGAAATACAGATTTTAAAAAATAATGTGTAGGCGGTAAACTAAATAATCCATATGACCTCCATATAATACCACCCCCCTAACACTGAGCAACATTTTGTAATGTTGCTCACTGCTGAGATAGCGTTAGTTTACTTTGAAAACAAAATATCTGATTTCTGCCTTCTGTGAGTTTACCATCTAGAGTGAGATATATAAACATATACGGAAAGGTTATTCTTGTGTTTTTTTTAATCCTCACCTGAGGATATTTTCCGTTGCTTTTCGGAGAGAGTGGAGGGGCAGAGAGAGAGAGAAACATCGATTGCTTGCCCCCTGCCCGTGCCCTGACCAGGGCTGGGGATCAAGCCTCCAACTGAGGCAGGCGCCCTTGGCTGGAACAGAACCTGGGACCCTTCAGTCCCCAGGCCAGCGCTCTAACCACTGAGCAAAACTGACCAGGACTGAAGTTACTCATTTTTGAAGTAAATAAAGCTGTGTAAAGGAAAACTGAAATTAAAGTTGGATATAGTTTGTCAGGGAAGACGGCCACCGAGTCCATATTTATCCTGCATTTATTTATTCAAAACTTTAACCATTTTTTTATTCAAAAAAATGTATTGTGCCTGGCCTGGCGTGGCTCAGCAGTTGAGCGTCGACCTAGGATCCAGGCGATCGGGGTTCGATTCCCAGTCAGGGCACATACCCGGGCTGTGGGCTCGATCAGTGACTCTCTCATCATTGATATTTCTATCTCTCTCTCTTTCCCTCTCCCTTCCTCTCTCTGAAATCAATAAAGATTTTATTTTTAAATAAATAAATAAATAAATAAATAAATAAATAAATAAATAAATAAATAAATAAATAAATGTTATTATTTCTAATCTGAAATGTAATGGCTTGAAATATAGAAATGTGAATCAGAACCACTGAACTCACCACCTAAACTCCTTCATTTCAGGTGATCCAAGTCGCTGTTGGCTGTGATACTACTAAATACATTACAGTTAAAAGGCAAGTATATTTGCACTTGACCTGTCTTACTCTTTAAGTTTTAAAGCAAATGGTGAACTAAATGGTAATTATTAGTGATCATTTTAGCCTAATGACTGACATGTCCATAATGAAATAAAAAACTGAATTGACGGTTTGTCCAAAGCAAAATGGTTTGAACTTTTTGCCAAGTCAAATATTACACTTGATCATTACTCAAAGGGAAAAAGAATTAACATCTCTATTACCAGCATTTTGCTCCACCTTCCCCTTTAATAAACCAGTTTCCATCTTTTGCCTTTGACTCCCTCAGCTCTTCAGCCTACAGCTCATTCCCAGAGAAATGAGAGGAAGAAACACTTGCCTCTGTTTTCCTTCCTACTTAACCCAGTAATAATTTCATTCCCATCAGAGAATTGTTTACATCCATATCATTTTTTATGGGAAATTTTTTTAGCAAACTTAGAAGCCAGTGTTCCCTCCAGGGCTGTGACTTTCATTGGCCTGAATGTGGTTTGTAGTGATGCATGCTGGATTCTGTGTTATCCACTTGCCACAGCTCTGTTTCTTCTACATGGGAAAATCCAGGTCAACATACAGAAATCTGTTTAACTGAGGTTAAATGTATAATGGAGACAGCAATGTACTGTGATTCTTTCCCATGGTTAGAAGTGGGGGTGAAAGTGGGGGGATGCTGACTCTTATCTGAGTCTGTTTATGAAATGATTTGCTCTCATCCAAAACAAAGGTCTGCTCCTCTGTCATTCTAACAATCTTTTGAGGACTGAACTGTAATAATCAGTGGCTGGATTGATACTTAAGTATTCCCATCTCATTCAGCAAGGAATTTGCATTTTCAGAAATTCGTTTTCTGAGAAACACAACGGCTAATTGGTTTACGCAGCCTATAGCATCCTATTTCTGGAATGGTCTACATCCTTGCTCATTAGTGTATGATCTATGGACCACACATCACCTGGTAACTTAGTAGACATGCAGAATGTCAGGCTACATCCCTGCTAGTCAGAATGTCTATTTTTTAAAAATTTCCAGAAGATTAGTAGGGGCATTAAAATTTGAGGGTAGCTGCTCTAAGCAACATGTTACCAAAATCAACTCCCAGTACCACTGAATGCAGATTTTCTGCTTCAGTGAGATGCAAAGCATCTTGAATCAATATATTTCTGGGAGGGTCTAGATAGCAATTATCAAGCTTGGTTACTCATCAGAATCACCTAGCAAGCATGTTTACAAAACAGAGATTTCAAGACTAAGGTCCCGGCCTCGTAGTCAATGACCCACTGTTCTGGAACTCTAAAAACAACCCTAATAACTTGGATTCAGGTTGTGGTGGTGGTGGGCCTAAGGTTTCATAGTTACCAAAGGAGGCCTGTGGGATCCAAGGTACTTCTGACAGAAGATTTGTCAAGGATGGAGGGCATCTCTTGGGGTCTAATTTAGTTTTGGGGTGGGAGATGGTCTAGACTTCCATTATCTGTCTAAACACAGTGGTGTGATTAAGGTTCCTTATGAGCTACACTAGAAGTAGCCAAAACAGAGGTCAAAGGAATAATTTAACTTACTAAAAGCGCTATCATCTCACATACCATGATAGCCTTATGTCTGCATGAACCCTAACTACAAATTATGTGAATCCTAAAGTAGCTCTTTACCTGCACAATTGAGTCTCTAGTACAAATTAGAGATCTGTGTTTTTAAAAATGTATGAGGAATAAAACCATCCACAGAAATTTGTCTTCATTTTGATAGATTTTCTATCAGTTTTTCACATGTATCAAAAATAAGTAGACCAGTAAATTTCAAATTCTAGTGACTTCAGAAATACTTGTGAAACTGATTTTAAAAATAGAAATGCTAGGGTAACACACCAACCCTAGAGATAATTCAATAAGTGATGATTCTGTGACACTCTCAAGTTTAAGAATTACTGAGTTAAGTGATTAAATGTTTGTGTAAGTATATAAGAAAGGGTATTACAATTTCATTATGTTTTATTTTTATTTTCGTAGAGTTAATAACCAAGAATGTCTTCCACATGATTTCTTTTACATTATTGAAAAGTAAGAAATATTTTAATATAAGTACTGAGTTTTTATTAATGTAGTATCAATAATTTAGTCTGTTAGTATTCTTATTAGGATCAGTCTTTGATAATATATGCATTCATGGCTATAAATGTACTTCTAGGTACTGCTTTTACTGCATCTCACAAATTTTGAAAAGTTGCGTTTTCATTTTCACTTAGTTTTAAATATTTTTAAAATTCTCTTAAGATTTCTTCTTTTACCCATGCGTTACTTAAAAGTGTGTTGTTTAATCTCCACATATTTTGGTAGTATTGTATAATTATGGTTATCTATTTGACTTCTGTGATATCTCCCTACCCAAAAAAGGGAATGGTTTTAATGTTTAAGTTTAAAAAAAGGAAAGGTAAGTAATGAAAAATGTCTTTTTTACAGGTCAAATCTGAGGCATCGACCACCTAAAAACTTGGTAAGAAAACTATAGTTTTATCAATCAGCCTAATATAGAAAATAACCAAAGTGTTTTTCCTTTCCTAGAGAGTAAAATATAAATGGAAAAAATATGGCTGCCCATTGAAACTTCATTACAGAGAGACATTTCACCCTGAGATTCAATTGTAAGTATATTCTCACTAAAATTTGAACTTACTTTCAAAGTTTTTGAACTAAAAGATGAAAAGAAGGCTAATTAATCGTGCATTTAATAAATATTTTTGAGCACCCAATATATGTGACACTGGGTTTTCAGACTTAGTGAACCAAAGTTAGACAACCTATGGTGCCCGAATTGAGGGAGGTTACTATTTAGCAGCTGAGACATAAGTGGATAAGAAAGCTGAGACTCTTCTCAAGGATGTAGGCAGGCTCTTAACCCTCGATTTACCTTCTCTAAATCTCTCCCCAAGCTCTTACCAGCACCCCTATCACACTGAGGGTAGTTTGACAGAAACTACCTTCCTCGGGTGACATATGACTTTTCTTTCCATGGGCCAATAATAACTAAAAACATTCAAGGAAAGAAGCTATATTACTAATGAAGGATTGGGGAGATTCCAAAAATATTATCTCTAACAATTCTTATAAACAATATATCCTAATAAAAATATGAACAAAAATGCTACGGGGAACACTTTTCCAAGTAATTTTGTACACATTTGCTTGCTTCTCTGACTTTTTATTCTTGATTTATGATTATAGAAGTCACACGGCTTATTACAAAATTTAAAATATAAAAATATGAGATAAATGGCTCACGTTTCTAAGTTTTTGCTATTATAAATAAAATTGTGGTGCATATTTATGTACATTTAGACACTAGTCCAGATATGCCATTAGGATAAATTACTGGAAGTGCAATTCCTGGGTGTAAAACATCAAAATTTTAGTCAAGGCATTCCGCTTTCAGGGCCCTCTTAGGCTGAGGACAACTTCTGAGACCCCACAGGGTGAATGGGTGTGGAATAATGAATCAGGAGCTCCAATTTAGTTTTGCCATCAGAGCTTTCCCTGTGAGGGTCCGAAGGCCCCTGTCAGCCTCCTCTTGCCCCCTCCTCAGCAGGGCGGTAGTAAGACTCCACTGTCCCCTCCCCCTTACGTCAGCCTCCCGCAGTCCCTCTGTCACGGGTTCCCCGAGCGGTTGGGCTACTCTGCTTCTTGTTTAGCCTTGATCTTCTATGCATCTACTCATGCCACTGCTCTTCCTGGGCACCCAGCACTCCCTCCCTCACTGAGGCCTAGTATTCTTTGTTTATTTTATATAGTGCCTCATCCCCCAGGGGTAAACTACCTTAATGTTCTTTCCCAGAGACGGGCACTCTTAGTTCAACTCATCATTCTTAAACAACTGCTCTGCACTAATTACCATGCTAGGCACTGGGGATTCAAAGATAAATTAGACAGGATTTCTGCGCTCAGGGGCCCAAGAGTCTGACGAATTAGATAAACACACGAGCTGATAAGCTAAGTGGAATGATAGAAAGAAATAATGTGGATGGTTGGCACTGAAACTCAAAAGAAAAGTATCCAACCTAGCTATGGAAGGAACGGGGGCTCTGGGAAATGCTGGCAGAAAACAAACATGCATTTGAGTTGAGTTGCTGAGTCTTAACGGGTAATGAATATTTAGCTGAAGGCAGGAGGGGAAGGAGGGAAGTGAGGAAGGTAATGAATTCCGCTGGGTAAGCCTTTTCAGCAAAAGTGATAGTTTGAGGAAGAAGATTTCTAGTTCAAGCTGTGCAGTGTTGATGGGGCATACAGTGAGAAATGAAGTGTCAGAAGAAGAGGCCGGGAAATGAGCTCGGTGGCTTCCAGACCGTGGAAGCCTTCCTCTCCATTCTGACCATAGAGCAGCATGACCAAATATGTGCTCTTGCTAGTTCTATGTAGAAGTGTAGAAGATGAATTTCAGGGAAACAAGTCCAAGTAAGGAGCCCAGGGAGTAAAACTGTATTAGGAGTCCAGGGAGGAAACAGCAACAAATACAAAGAAGAGGAATCATTTATGAGAAAAATTAGTGATTTTAATAGGCAGGGCTTAAAGAGAAAGGGACAGTCCTCCTGGATTTAAGAGACAGGCAGTGAAGTTTGGGACTGCAAAAGAGCTGTAAAGGTAGATTTTAAAACCCTAGAAAGGACAGAGTCCCATAGAGGGGAGCAAAAGAAATATGGAAAACTCTTTCCTCAAATTCTTGGCTAACTCTTAAACTGTGCTTGTGCGAGGAGAGGAAGCAGAGATTTCAACACCTACCTGATGCTAAGAGAGAAAGTCCGGAGTTTCAGTCCCATCAACTTAGAGGGTATTGGAAAACACCTGATATATTCCATTGAAACCAGAAAGGGTGACCTCTGATAAGTAAGCCAAGGACAAAATGCTATGCCCTGGGATTTAAGGGCAAAACCAAACATTTTTAAAAGCCTCGCAAGTCCTAAGACTTAAGTCTCAACAGGATCGGGCAGATCCATTCGTTATTTATCTTCCTTCCAGAACAAGAAAAAAAAAAAAACACCTCTTTAGAGGAAAATGACAAAACCTAGTTTCTCAACAATGTATCATTTTAAATGTTCAGTACAAAAGTTTTTTAAAAAATTATTATTAGACATCTAAAGCAGCAGGAAAATGACCCATAATCAATAAAAGGCACTGACAGTTGTAGACTAGACTCTGGCTGGCATTAGCACAAAAGGCCTTTAATACAGCAAGTATAAATATATTTTAAAATTCTCAAGAAAAGTGTAAAGAATGGGTAAACCAGTGGGAATCTCAGCAGAGAAATGCTAACTATTAAAAAAAAACAAAAAACAAAACTGGAATACTAAATTGTAAAAATATAGTACCTGAAATTTAAAAATAAAATTGATAGGATAGACTTAACAGCAAGTTGAGGAAAGGAGATAAAAGAATTCGTAAAATTATCTAAATTGTATCACAGGTAGAAGTACTTTTTTTCTAGAGGTAACTTATTTGTATCCCTGCTACCAGGAATCATTTGACAAAGCTTGTTGCCTCCAATTCTCTTAGGATAATCAACTACATCTTAGAGGCTAACTATGGAACAATTAGGCTCAGTGTCCAGTTCAACCAAATTATAGCAGTACATACTTGATAACTAAGTATTCAATTAGGTTGTTATCAGAGGCAAATTTGGGTGCCTATTAATTAAACTTTGAGAAACAGGTAGACGGGTGATCCCTGGGAAATGAGTCTGTAGTCCAGGACTCCAGATTACAAAAAAATGCCTTACCTTTATAGAGAACAGCTCGGGAACAAGGTTGGGCAGAATTTTACAGATAAAATGACAGTAGATTCACCATCAAACACTAGTAAGAATGAAGCAAGCCCTGGGAGTATGACCCAGCTGGCAATGCAAGTCATCCCAGCTGCCCCTTTGCTTTCTCAGCTTCCATGACAATCTATCCCAAACTAACATCTGGTGCCACAGAAGCAATGCTGGGGGTGGGGGGGACATTGGGACATAACTGCTTTACTATGAGGCAGGGAGTTCAGGAGCAGGTATTATGGGTATTTTAGGGGCACTCAAGATTTTCTTTAATCCGATAGGGTGAGACACACAGACAGGGAAATGACTGTTATGAAGGAAGAAATTTATTATACATACTGACCCCAAGAAACAGGAGGCGCAGCGAGTCATACAGGGCCACCCGGGGAAGCACCAGGATCAGTCCGGAGGAAAGGGAGGGAGAGGAAACTGGAGCGAGGGCCTTTACTGTGTTTTCTGTGGGAAGGAATGGATAAGGCAGGGATGAGGCTCTGGGTTGGCTGATTTGCACACAAAAGGTACACTCAAAGGCAAATTATTTGCTATCTCTACAAATTAATTAACCCTAGGAGGGTCATTTCCTCTCAGGTCAGCAAGGCTCAGGATTGAAATCACGAGTCTAAGGGATCCACAGAGAGGCCTCATCTGCCCAAAAGCAGAACCGTGCAGTGATGTGGCAAATTATAGGGAAATTAGTTGCCAACTAGTGACATTTCTAAATTTTGCAGGTTTAATTAATAGTGTATCTTACATAAATGAACATTAATGAAAATAAGCCATGCTTACCCAGGCAAGTATTTTGGTCCCATAATCTCAATGAAATAAAATATTACCCAAGATCCTTATAAACCCAGAAAGTCGGGGTCCTGCAACTTGTCCTTATTGCCACTAGATGACACTGTAGCTCACTGCTTTTCGTGAGTGTCAAAAGATGTCCAGCTCAGAGTTCAAGTAAGATCCTTTTTATTTAAAGAAAACATACGGCTTTGCAACTAGTCTTAGTCATTCAAAAAATCTGATGGCTCATAGAAGACGCAGTCGAGCATTCTGCACCTTCTGAGGTTCCTGGAATTAGAGCTTTGCTAAAGCCTGACCCAAATCTCTGAAACTGTTCAAAATTGTGTGTGTCCACACACGGGTGCATTTTCCTGTGGGGAGGGTCCAGAGCTCTCATTAGAGTTTAGTTCTCTATGACTTGCCTCCCGCTCCAAGAACAAAGTCGGGGTCCACTACTCCTACCCCTAGTTACACCTGAGCTCCTCTCTTTACAATTTCTAAAAAAAAAAAAAAAGAAGTCAGATAGAAATGAAATAGCTTCTCAGATACCACTTTCTGACATTTAGGATTTTTCTGCCCAATTTGTGAGAATGGGACAGTCACTGTTTTTTATAACCAGGAGTGGATGGTAGCAATTTGTAGCTGACCTGGGAAGGCAGATAGAGTAACTGCGAAGTCAGACAGAGATCTGGGCAGTGAACAGGATCTGTTCTTTTTTATGACAGGCACAGAGATGGGACGCAGAAAATATATCAGACACACAGGCAACCTGCCTGAGACCAAGGTCCCACGTGGAATTTCCATCCAAGGAGTGTGGGGGACAATTCCATTTAGAAGAATGGGCAATAACTGACAGAGAGGGAAGACATGTAACCATCTTTTCAAAAGATATGCTTTCATTGATTTCAGAGAGAGGAAGGGAGAGGGAGAGACAGAAATAGCAATGATGAGAGTCACTGATCGGCCGCCTCCTGCACGCCCCCGACTGGGGATTGAGTCTGAAACCCGGGCACGTGCCCTGACAGGGAATCGAACCTGGGTCTCCTGGATCACAGGTCGACGCTCAACCGCTGAGCCACTCTTATGAAAAAGAAGTCACTGTCATATAAAACAGGCTTGAAGGGGTCAGAAAAAATAAAGCAATATTTATAGCAGCATGATGCAGTTATTTCCGTGGTTGCTGTTTTTCAGATACAATGAAAATGGCTTTATTGAACATGTTGCAGTCAATTTCATCGTGTGGGAAATCCACGGCAGGGATGACTACAGCTATAATACCTCCATGAAGAAGGTGCGACATCCCAGAATTAAACAGAATTTAGTGTGCAACTAGGCATGTCTTTCTATTTTAAAGCTGTCTCTAAATTATCTAAGGAAAATAAAGCCAGTCTGCTGTGAATAAGGGAACAAAACCATATTAACCTTATATCCTATGACTGCTAAAATTAATTTATGAAAAAGAAGTCACTGTCATATAAAGCAGACTTAAAGTGATCCGAAAAAATAAGATAGCATTGATAGTAGTATGATGTAATTATAGATAAATAATTTCCTTTCTCTCCACACTGTATTAATGTTGGATTATTTATGGGTCCGCACTTGACCTTCAGACATTGATCACATTTGTGCTAAATCAAACAGACACCCACTAGGCTTCACCTCACTTGACTTCTTTGTATCATTTGACCAGCTGACCTTGGCTTCACCGCCCCCACTCTCCCGGTTTTCCTCCACCTTCCACAACTGGTGGAGCTTGGCCTGCACAGTGCAGCCCCCTTACTCTGCCCTTTGTTTGCAGGCCAAGCTCGACCGGTCACAGATAACATAATGTTCACATGAAACAGTTCAAATTAATAAAAGAATTTAAGAATAATTAAATAATTGAACTTTTTAAAATATGTAATTTTAGTGGCATTAAAATACATGAACTAGTTATGAATAAATTAACGTACTATATATCTTTTGATAGAGTGGTTGTTTAAATGAAGCCCAGACGTGGAAGTCAATGACCACGCTTAACAAGCACCTCCCGTTAGAATCAGCTTGGGGACCTGAGGTAAGAAAAACAATACCTTGAAAATTGTTTACTTATAATAAGTAATCTGGCATAACTAATAAAGCTTGAAGGAAACACTTGGGATTTAAATTTGGTTTTAAAAGTCAAATCCAATTTTTCTGTTGGATTATATTGTGATTCTCAAAAGTGCGTCATCTTAATTTCTGTTTGACCTTCTGTTGCTCCTGTTACTAACAATTTTGTATAATTTTATCTGCTGAAAAATCTGTGTTTACAGATTAGTAAATACCTGACAAACATGTTAAAAGCTTCATGTTAAAACCCTAGCAGCTTTACTCTAACAATCCTTCGAACAATCCCTCAACCCCAATATGACCTTCAATCTATTCATCCTACACCCTCACTCCCAGGTTATCGTTTCCCTCTTTACACAGCTTCAATTCTGTAGTCATTAATTACATCGTTCTATTAATATGTACCTTCAATTCCTTTGCCTCTCCATCTTATTTCTTCGTATCTGTGTGACTAAATCACAACCCTGGTTAAATTCAACTATCCACCTTAGCAGCTAACCATGGTCAGAAAAAAACATACTCATGCTGACTTGTACCATTTTAATTTCAACAAGTCAATAAAGACTTCCCTGGCCACTCTATAACCATCACCCCATGACAATCCATATCTGCCTTCCCTATTTTCTTTAATGTGTTTAGCATTTATAACTCACTGACACATTATATATAGTCTGCTAATTTATCCAATTTATTATCTGGCTCCCCAACTGGAATGTAAGCTCCATAAGAGAAGAAAATTTCATGTGCTTTGTTCACTGCTGTATCCCCAGCATCTAACCCATTATGAGTGCTCAATAAATATTTCTTGAAACTAATTAATTAAGTATAGCTCATCTATCTATTACATAGAGTATTAATCTACTATTAAGAAATCATAATAAATTAAACTAGTCATGGAATCAGTTAAAAATAAAACTTACCCTCCTGACTTTTTGTTGAAGGGTCTGGGGCTGAGGACAGGTGTGATACTTTATTTGCCAAAATCTTAGAAAGGGCACCCAAATGTTCTAAGATTTTGCCAAAATAACACATTCCTTGAAGCAATGGGCCACCTGTTAGGTTTAACAGTCATGGAGCTTGCCACCATCAGTAGGATACAATGCGGAGGCTCTCAGATTCTAGTGTACATCAGAACCACCTAGAGGACTTGCTAAAACAGATCTCTGGGCCCAAAGTCTCTCGTTCAATAGATCTGGGGAGGGAGCCCCCAAATCTGCATTTCTATCAAGTTCCCACTTGATACTACTGACCTGGGGACCACATTTTAGAACCATTGAAATAGTGGCTTACGTTCAAGAAAGGTTTGGAGCTCCCACGCCAGGCCTAAGTGTTCGGTTCTACTGTACGAAAACACAAAGCTCTCCATTAAGAGGGCAAGTTCAGGCTGGAGTTTGAATATAATGGAAGGCAGGTACCTGCAAAGACTACATCCTAGTGAGTAAAGCTACACTTCCTGAAGGGTAGGTAGGTCAACTGTGCGGTAACTGAGCTGTATATTAACTAAACATGGCCATCAGAGGTGCTCTTTCCCTGAAACATATACCTGGAATGAAGGAGCTACACAGTCCCGATTCTACAGGGGTGAGTGACCTGCATAAAAGATCCAGGCGGTAACTTTAGGGACGTAAATTCTCAGGAGAAAGACTGAGTTTCTGGACATGGCCGACATACTCTTCTGAGAAATCCTTGGCTAGAAATGAAGTGTGTCATTCACGAGGCTGGGGAAGATTTGTTTTCTCACAGGCTAGATGGCTTGATCAAGTGAGTTTTTATCTTTGTTTCCTGTTCAGAACTATAAGCACTGCTTTTCTTATGCCATTGGAAAACCAGGAGACTTGCACCAACCATATGAGATTATCAACAAGTCTAACAACAACCATTTAATTTGGCCCATGCACCATACTGGAATGTATGTGTTTCAAGTGAAGATCCTGGATCCAAACTATAGGTGAATATAAATGTTTTATTATAATACGTTTAGCATTAGTTCAAAATTAAATTTTTATTTTTTTAGTTTAATTTATTGGGGTGACATTGGTTAATACAATTATATATGTTTCAGATGTACAGTTCTGTAACACCTCACCTGTATATTGTATTGTGTGTTCACCACCCCAAGTCAAGTCTCCTTCCATCACCATTTATCCCCCCCTATACCCTCTTCTACCTCCCCCACCTCCCTTCCCCTCTGGCAATCACCATGCTATGCTGTATTCTGTGTTAATTTAATTTGATGTCACTCAGATACTCAATTTTTGCTATTATTTACGTATTTGCTTTTTATTTTTGTAGCAGACACATTAAACATTCTACAGGGGTGGGAGATAAGATTTCATGTTGAACGTTAATTCATCATTTCACAGTTACTATGTTCCTTGGCTATGATAGATGCAAATACAAACACAGTCTCAGCCTTCTTGGTGCTTATAATTAAACGGGTTGGGGAAGGAGTCGTCGGGGGTGGGGTGGGGGTACACACACAAAACAAGGGGGGTTAAATCAGAGCGTATACTGAAATGCTTTTCAAATATAATCATTTGTACTCTTGATGGGCCGAATAATAATTTAAAGATGGGAAGGAGCAATGCTATTTTGAGCGTCGGAAGAAAGCTTCCCTGGAGAGTAAGGAACAGTGATAGAATTTACATTGCCAGAGGACTAGAATACACCCTTGAGATGAAAGAAATCGCACTGATAATGAAATGTCTATGGGTTGTAGAGTCATGAAGGAAGATGGAAAATACCTTGAGTGAAGAGCTAGGAAACAAAGGAGGCAGACTAATTTAAGGCATAATGTTGAAGTCAATTTCTAACCACGTCCTAGAGAGAAGGCCTCCTTAGCATCCTTACAAGGGGAGTGTTGTGACGAAAATATAGGTCCTGAAAAATTAGCCTGAGAAGGGCATAAAGAATGGTACAAAAGGAAAGTCAACTATACACAGATAAATGCGGAGACTGAAGTTAACAAGGCAAGAGGCAAAAGGAAGGCCTGACAGCAAGAAAGGAAAGGAAAAAGTCTAATAAATATGTGTTCAAAATAAGAGATTGTGTTGATCTAATGTGGAAAATGAAGGAAAAGAAAGAACTGACATGGTTTCCAGTTTTCTAGATTAGGTGATTAAAAATTATGGTCTTTTCTTTGACCAAAATAGCTAACGGGGTGGTTTTTCTCTGGGGGAATTACTGAGGTGAGAGTACTACTTTGCATATGAGTCTGGGGTCACCATTAACAGAAGAGTTCCACAAAACACTATTTCAAAAAGATACCTGCGGCTGCCTGGCGTGGCTCAACAGTTGAGCATGGACCTGTGATCCAGGAGATCGGGGTTCGATTCCCAGTCAGGGCACATGCCCGGGTTTCGGGCTCGATCCCCAGCAGGGGGTGTGCAGGAGGCAGCCGATCAATGACTCTTTCATTATTGATGTTTCTCTCTCTCTCCCTCTCCCTTCCTCTCTCTGAAATCAATAAAAATATGAAAAAAGATACCTGCCCCTCCATGTTTATTGCAGCATTATTTACAATGGCCAAGACATGAAAGCAATCTAAGTGTCCATCAGTGGATGAATGGATAAATAATGTGGTACATATATACAATGGAATATTACTCAGCCACAAAAAAGAAGAAAATATTTCCATTTCAACAACATGGATGGACCTTCAGGGCATTGTGCTAGAAAGTCTACTTTGCTTTGAATCATAATTTTGCCAGTAGTAGCTATACAGTCTTAAGCAAATTGCTTTGTCCCTTTAAGCTTATTTTTGTCTGTAAAATGAGTCAGTAAAACCTTTCTTATAGTACTCTGAGGATTAAATGAAGTACCTGGGTAAAAATCCCTAACTTTGCTGGGCACTTGGCAAACACTCAATAAAGTTCCTTCTTCTCTCTTCCTCCCACATAAAAGTTAAATCATACCATTAATGTTTTAGTTATATCCTGTCTCATTCCAAGCAATATGCTAAATTATGAGAAGCTCAGTAACTTTAGAAATAATAACAGTTTCATATATTGTATTCCTAACATTCTCATCAGCTCTCTGAGGGAATCAGCTACGTCAGGTGAACATCACACACACTTTGATCAGAAAACCCTGAATTCAAATCCCAGCTCTGCTAGTTACAGCTCTGTAAACATTTGTTAAGTAGCTTAACCTATCTGAGTCTCCATTTCCTCATCTAAGAGGAATGGTTGATATAAAGATTAACCAAAATAAGTCATGTAGAGCATCTGGTACACTGCCCGGTACATAGCAAATGCTCGCTTAGTATCACTTGCCCTAAGTATTAATGGTCAAAAAAATGTTAACTGTTTATTGTTTTTGTCAATACTTATTTTTGTTGTTATTAATATCATTACTGCTGTTGTCTCGGGAACCACTATCAAAATGGTGTAAAGCTGTTAGGACAGTGAGGTTGCAGTGACCAGCTCTAGGATTGTAGCAAGCAGCCTAAGTCACACATACGGAAAAACCATTGCCGCTGTTAAGTAAATGTATCTATTCTCTCCCTTGTCAAGAAAATGACACCTTGCCCGGCCGGGCGTGGCTCAGCGGTTAAGCATCGACCTAGGATCCAGGCGATCGGGGTTCGATTCCCGGTCAGGGCACATGCCCGGGTTGTGGGCTGCAGCCGATCAATGACTCTCTCATCATTGATGTTTCTATCTCTCTCTCTCCCTCTCCCTTCCTCTCTCTGAAATCAATAAAGATATATTTTTTAAAAAAAGAAAAAGAAAATGACACCTTAACTAAGATTATATATGACTTGATCATTACCATAGAGCTGTGGAGGGAGCCCTAATATATTGTACTTAATCTTCAATATTATTTTTCTCATTTGCAGTTTCTGCAACCTAACAGCTGTCTTTGCGATAGAGATCTATGGCGTCCTTCCCAGGTAATAATTTGCCTAACTAGGCTTTAAAGAGAGAAGTTGAAAGACACAGGGGGGCAGCTAAAAAGGACCCTATTATCTCTGCCCTATATTTGATGTCCTAGAAATTGAACGTATCTGTTATACCAGGGATTTGCCGTAGGAGGGAACTCCCGAGAATTGTTACTGCAGCTGGGTTCCCTTTTAGTTCCATCCCCCTCAGCAGCTACTGTCTTCCCATCAAACATGTCTTTCAACTCCACCTACGGGGCAAGGGATAGACTGTGGCTGTGTCTGCACCTAGGCCAGTGGCCATCGCCCCTGCACATCCAGGAAACTGGTTGTAAAAGCATTTCACTGGACTCGACACCAGTTTCTTTAGAGAGCAGAATAAAAAGTTAACTTTAATATTAAGTTGGGACCGCAAATGACTCTTGCTTCCCTGTCCTGGGTCTGATTTTGTTTTTGTTATTTTGTAAAATGTTGACCGTGTAAGGGGAACTATTATTTATGGCCCTTCTTTAAATATTACTGACTCCTCAATTTGTTGTGCTAATGGAGGGTTAATGGTGCGGATAATTTACAAATGAGATAAGCCATGTGTTGTTTCTGAGTAACTTTGGGAAACAGGTACAGCCTTTCAACAGCAGCCTCTCACCCTAATGATCATCCTGTCTGTTTTCCTGCCCACTCAGCCTCAGACACTAAGAGGTAAACATTTTGAGGGTGGACAAGGTGTGTTCTTAATCGGTGTTCTCTGTCAGTAGAAGAGGAGCTAGCTCTTCAGAAATTGTTTGACTAAATATATTAACCACCAAGGTGGACAGTACGTTCTAATGACATTTTCTTTCTTTTTCAGTCCAAATGGCTACCTGGTTGCTTCCACCCTCTTTCTCCTGATGCTACTGTTCTTCAGTATTCTCATTTTTAGCTACTTCCATTACATGAGGATTTACAAACAACTTATGTATGAGCTAATTTACAAAACTGAAAGAAAGCAAAAGAACATTTAGGAGAAAATGAAAGCTTGTTTACTACGGATATATGTATGTAGGAGTGTATATATATATATTATATATTTGTATTGAGTGTGTATATATATGTATATATATATATATATATATTTATATTGAGAACATGTGTTTGACCAAGAAATACTATGAACAAAAGTTCATAGTATCATCCAATTCAAGATCTGAAAAATGTTCTTAAATATCCAAAACAGAAATATTTTCATTTATATTTTGTATTATAAAATTAACTCTTAATGTGTCTGCATTTATCTTAAAAGGTAGTCTATACACTCATATGGCTTTTTAAAAAATAAAAATAAAACCTTTTTAAAAATAAATTTGGCTATTACAATGAAACTTTATATGACTGCAGTTAATTTATCTACAAAAAATGATGTTCATGGATTTAAATAATCTGCCTCAAACACATTTCAGAAGTTGAAATGTACAACTTATGATACCGAAAATAAGAAAAGTGATGCTCTGTTTTAAGTTCTACATTTTGAATTTAATGGTTGAAATAAGCTTCTTAACTTGTCCAGATGCTATAACAGCTTCCTAAACAATTAGTATTTATAACACTCAGTGTCCAACCAGAGAAGTAGAGCCAATAGCAGGTGTGTGTGTACATGTGTGTGTCTAGTATCACTGGTTGTCATGGCAAAACTCTAGAAAAAGAGTGCCTATCAGTAGGTAAATGGCTCGCCGGGCAAGGTCCTGTGCACTGGGTTCGATTCCAGGAACGCGGAAATCTCGCCCTCTCCCCTAAGTCGCCCACTTCCCTTTACATACAAGTATACCTCAGTACTCTCATCTTTAAAACGCCCTCCACTGACCACCCGGCCCCATCCCATTAGTGCCCTAAGCTGCCCTAGTCCGCATTTCTGGCCTTTCACTCCAACCATCCCAGGTAGGCTTTGGACCCCACCCCTCCCCTGGGACTGCGGTGCCAAGGCCACCGGTAACCTCCACGTTGCTCAGTCAAGTCTGTGGCTTCTGTGTCACCATGCTCTCCTGCCCAGGCTTCCCCTTCCTTCCCTACTTGACCTCTACATGAAGGGTCCAAGAGTTTTATCTCTGGCCCCTTTATTTTTATTTTTTTCTTTCTTCTTAATCTACACTCTTTCCTAGGAAATGCAATCAGTTCCAGGGCTCCGTTCATCCAAATGCCCACGTGGCACGATGGATGTTTTCTAAAGGGCAGCTCCAGCGTATCATGACCGAGTCCTCACTCTTAACTTGCCTCCTTCCCAGTTTTCGCATCTTGCGACCGGCGCCACCCTCCTCCCGACGCCCCGGGCCGAAACCCGAGGCGTCGCCCTTGAACGCGCTCTCCCCAACCCCGGCCGCTTGGAAGCCTTGCAGACCTGGCCTCCCAGCACCCCCAGGACCCCAGCTGCCTTTCGGGAGTGCACCTAGGGAACAGCTTCCCAATTCGCGGAGTCAATGAGCTTTGAGGTTTCCTTCTCCCGGGATCCCTGTCCCCTGAGATGGGTAAGGGCTGGCTTTTTGTCATTCAGGTCTCGGCTTAAACCTTGGCAAGAGCCCTCCACGCTGCAGCCACTCTAAGATCAGCCTCCATCAGCCCATCCTGTTCTAATTCTCTGCAAAGCACATGCCACCAATGTTTTGTCTCCCTTCCTGTTTATTACTGTATCCCCCGGGGCCCACAACACCGCCTGGCACGTGGCAGACACAACCATCTGTTGCCTGCATGCAAAAGCACCAGCTGTGCGCCAGGGCCGCGCTAATCTGAGCCCTGGACTCTCTTCCCATCTCACCCGGACAGTGTCGTGAAACGTAAGATTCTAAATTGAGGATTAACTGGACGCCTGTTACACCCCACCCCACCCCCACCCCAGGA